GATTGGGTCATCTACAATGAATTTGTACTAACAACTAAAAATTACATACGCACCGTTACAGATGTTAAACGTAAGTAAAAATCTTTATTTTTTTATAAAATCTATTTAAAGACAAATACGACAAGGAAAACTATTTTCAAAATTCAAGTCCAAATTCAGGTTTTAAACACCTGAACCAACGTCGTACTTAAACTGTCCTACTCAAACATGGAATTTTATTATTGTAATTTATTTATTTTTATTTATATTTGATTTTAAATAAATTTAGTAAGTCAAAAACGTTTTTATACTCGCATGTGTTATAAGTAGTAATGTTCTAAATAAAGATTTAATGTCTTCACCTGATTTTATATGCATTTCTTGTGTTTTCGTTATAGCTGAATGGTTATTGACTTTGTCTCCGCAATACTATGATCTAAACAATTTCCCACAATGCGAAGCAAAACGTCAACTGGAATTATTGCAGCAGCGGTTGGAATCTAAACAGTTCCAAAAAGGATTTTAACTTGTTAAGATTAGTTTAAGGTTTTCCAAATTTTACACTTAGTTCTCTTCTACAAGAAATTTTTTATTGATTTATTAATACGATTATTAACATACTATATACAAGTGCAGTTGTAGAAATAGCTTGAAATCTTTATATATATCTGATAGTAATAAAATCGCTAATGCAGTTTAAATTAATTTATAAAATACATACACATATTTCAATTAGTAAACATAAACCAACTAATTACAAATAATAGAAATTAGTCTATCTATAATATAGGACAGTGCATAAATACGTTTGATTATATTTTAAACATAAATTATTGTAATAATATTCGTATATTCTCCACATGTTTATTTATATACATTTATATATATATATATATGTATAAATATATAAGGATATATGCAGTATAATATAATTTGAATTTAATGTACAATAAATATTTCATACAAAATAAAAGTATTGCATCATTGATTTTATTTTTAATAAATTTTACTGATAGATAAATATAAATACATTTTAAAATAATTGATTTAGAAAAGAATTTAATAACGTATTTTAATTAAAAAATTATATATGGCTAAGGATACGCACATCTATGCGTGGCAACTTGGTGCCAGATATGTAGTTCATCCTATATTATTAATATTTATGGCAAGTGCTGATAACAGAAACTAATGTAAAATACATATTTAATATATACCTAAAACAATTTTTTTTTTGTGCGAGGAAAGAGTCATGCAACTAAAGAACTAAGCAGGGTTTTTAGGTTGTGATCAGTATTTGAATTTAATTTAAATTTAAGCGAGGAAATATATACATAAATATATACTTTAATATATAAAATATCTTATAATTTATATAAAATCAATTTGCATAATTTTTTTATAATTATACATAACATTTTGTTTTTTATTGCTTATAAGTACACATTTATTATAGTTATTATTATGCCACTATTATTCATCTAAATATTTTTAAATTCCATTAGTTATGTTAGATTGCTTAACCATTGGTTTTCTGGAATTGTATCAATATGACCAAATATGTAGCGATTGCGGAACTGAACTGTTATCAAATAATGATAATTAAAGTTCAATTTTAAGATCAATGTATGTTCCACTCACCGATGTCAAAATATTCCGATTAACTCGACAAAGACCGCTTGCAGTAAAGTCAGCACTCATAATTAACAATTGCTGCCAAAACTTTTTTATCTAAAAATCGAATGTAAAGCAACAGTTGAGCTTTTAAGTAAAAGCTTAATGAGTTAATATAGTTGGTATATAATTATTAAACAAAAATTGATAATAATTAAATTTTCATATAGTAATACTTATTATGTACTATTAAGTTTGCCCTGCACATACTGTTCCTATGTGCAGTTGATTGAAAAGTGGTAATAATGTATTGACGGCAAACGGTGACTGTCGCCATCGATCTGCAAGACGCACAAGCACAATTTCCAGTTATTCCAAAACTTAGCACTACGTACTTCAACCGGTTGTTACCGGTTATTTTACCGTTTTAAATGCTGCTTGCATTGCAGCTAACAATAGCCGATCAAAACAGTTTCTTATAACGTTCAACATAATGTAGATAATGTAGACCAGCATTCAAACAGGACTATAAGTGAAAGTACAGATTTTAATAGTGTAAAATATCTGAAAATGAATGACGTCTCCCTCATCCAGTTTGCGCTCACAGTTCTTGTGAGCTCAATTGTAGTCTGGACAAAGCTATGTGCTAAACAGTCATATGTCTCCCATAAATATGTCTATCATAACTGCAGCTCTACTTTTCATGACTTCGCCCATTTGTTTTCGTTGAAATGGTGAACAGCCATATGTCTATCATAACTGCAGCTCTACTTTTCATGAGTTCGCCCATTTGTTTTCGTTGAAGTGGTAAGATTTTTTAACGTTTATATAGATTTTGTTCAACCCCTTTCCCTACTTTTACCTTACACTTTCTTACAGTTTTTGTCATCCTTTTATGTTTGCTTTTCAGATCAACGTTTATTACAACACCAACACCAACAATGTTAATATACTATATTGACTCACCTCTTCAGCTAATATGGGATCATGTATTTTTCGTTCCATTTCGCACACAATTTGAATAGTTTTTTTTGACTAGAATTGGAAACAGTTCGGTTCCAGTAATTATTGTCATTAGAATATCATTTGCTACTTACTTCCACACTGGCTAAATGACATGGCTCAACTATCAATAATAAACGTAATGCATGGAATATAATCCACAACACTTGTAGCCAAAGATAACCACCGTCTTTGGTGTTGAACATTTCCAAAAATAAGAAATAAGCGGTAGCCACTAAGTGTAGCAAACATGAAACCAAAATAAATAAAACTGCAGCCCCATAGGAACTAAAATAGTAATGGAAGTAATTTATTTAATTAACATGAATTAATTAAACGTTTAAGTGGTTATGCGATCTGCACTCACCTTGACACAATATAAACACATTTCCCAAGAGAATCATGATTTTCTGCCATTAATCTGATAAGCGTAGATTTTTTCTTCGCTGTAAGAAGTACGAATTTCAAATGAAATTATAATATATATAAAGTACATATATAGTTTCGTAGATTTATGTTGATAATCTATAGTTAACACCTACCTTCTCCATTGTTAAACTGATTTTCAGCGGACACTTTGACCAAACTCGTATTCGAGGTGAATGAAGATTGCAATACCGATTTTACAGTTGTGACCTTTTGTTTAGATGCATTCTCATGTTTACGATCTGTAGTTTTTAAAGAAAATACACATATGACAATATTTATATATTGTATATTGTTTATATCACCTGTACCTGTCAAGAACGTAGTTTTCAAAAATAAATTAAGACGATTATATCGGCGACATAAACCAAAAGCCGTATTGGCGAGACTAACATGTAGCCCAGTTAATAGCAAATAGAGGCTATAGAATGGTATGTACCAGTGGATATTCGTTTCTACAAGTATAAATAGACTTTAGTATTTTTAATATTCTTTTAAAAAGGAAATAGTGCTCTTTGAAGCACTATTCTCTAACGCACCTGTGTTCACTGAGACGCTTTTCGATTTGCTTGCAAATCTCAGCCAAGTTCCTATATCCAATGCTATAATCACAATGTAATATAATATATATAGTGGATTCAAAGCACATCTGTATCACTTACCTAACAAGCTACAAATAGTTCCGAGTGGTAGCACAATCATGGCTATGGCACGTATACGATCTCTTTTAAAATGCAACGATGAGTGTAGTGTTTCATCAACCTACATATACCATATTTATCTTTATATATTACTAACTCAATTTAATTACTAACTCCTTAATTAGAGATATAGTCACCTTTCTCAAACGGATGTTCAGTTCCCGTGTGGCTTTGAAACCGAATAAGCCACAAAGTGATCCTGCACTCGTTGCTAAAACTACCACTGAGACATCTAATGCAGTTACAACCTTGGAGGTTGCCGATTTCATCCTAAAAGATGCGCTTTATATTTTCGGATGCAGCAGATAATTCAATAAATTTTGTTCAGTGCAGTATAGAAGGAAATTTATATGTAATACAAGAGTTAGAAAAAGAAATTGAAAGTATTTAAATTTAGTATAAAAGAGAAGTTAAGCTATGAGAAAGATTTAACGAGCAATAGATGGAAGTCTATAGACTGGTATTTTGTTGGGGTTTTTAAAAATTAATTCTCTAGTAGAACTCAAGAAATTAGATGTTCTATTCAGCATAACAACTAATTGACGAAAACTAAAAGAAGTACTAATTTAGACTTAAAATCTCTGGGCCACTACGACTTAGACATGACTACTGCTTCCGGATGAGCACTGTATGGGCTTTAACACGAAGTTTGCATTATGCGGTGAATTAAAATTCAACGGCATTCAGTCAGAACATAAATCTATGTTCAGCGTATTAGAGTCAACGACATCCACTCCTTATGACAGGAGGTGAAGACGAATAAAGTAATTCTGATGAAGTATTTGTTGACCGCATTTAATGTACGAATCTAAGAGTCTGAGAAGGGCGCATGGAACAGGAGCATTTCTAGCAACAAATCGCTTAAACCAGCTAAGTTCTACATTATTTTCTAAGAGTATTTGGCATGAAATCCAAATTAGCTGCTCATTTATAAATTGAACATATTGTAAGTATTGAACAAGTACCTATATAATAATCTCAAA